TTTTTTTTTTAAATTGCAAGTACAAATCAAATTGAATCTTCTCCAATTTTCACAGTTTGAATCCAGTCCAGCCGCCACCAATTTCCAGCCAACAAAATGTGTATGGTGTATATGTTTGAGTGGTCAAAAACCGAGAGCTCTCTAGCTTCCTTTCTCCTCCTTTCCTTAGGCTTCTTTTGATGACCCTTGTAGAACTAGCTTCTAGGAAGATAAGCTAGGTCAAACTAAGGCCACACTTTGATTAACTCATCAATAGGAACAGCAAAGAGTATTGAAGGAAAAGAAAGACAAGAGTAGATTAAGAAATGACAAGCTTATATGACACAAAAAAAATAGGTGACTAGAACAAGAAGAAATTGTCCTAAGATGAGTTCTAGATTGGATGCTCAAAACCAAAACACTCAAAGATATAGTAGCTGCAAATTGTATGGGTCAACAAATAAGTACAAACCGAGAAGAAACAATTAACAATTCAACTCCTTAATTGGCTTTTACTTTTCAAATTTAGGTTTAACATATATTTTTTTTTTAATTCACTTTTGTTCTTGAATTTCTTTTGATCTTTCTTCTAATTTTTTTTTTTTAGAACTTAGGAGTTGCCTTTTTCTTGTTTTGAATTGCTCACAATAGTCTCGGTCACACTTAGTAGAAGCACTAAAAACCGGTTTAGAAAAGATGCCAAATACAAGCCAAATTAAGTTACAATTCTAAACAAATGTGACATGCTTTTCATGCTTGTAAATGTAACTGACACATGCACGGTTTTTGGCTCCACAATTCAGATTCAAATTTGAATTTCAAACACAAATTGCAGCACACTTTTAGACAACAAAGATCAAACACTCACGGATTTAAATTTTTTTTTAAGACATTTTCAAAATTTGGAAACCTAAAATTCTAAGAAAACTACTAATGATCTACTAGTAGTTCATGAACTCAATTCAAAACAAAATTTGATGAGCTTATACAAACACTTATGGATCTCGGCCAAATCCAGAAAAATTGATTCAACTTTCAAAAGAAAAATTCAAAAGGATCAACAAGCAATGCTAGGAATGATGAACATATAAAGAACTACACAACCTTACTAAACATGGATTCAAAACAAAAATTAAGACTCAAACAATTTTCAATGGCCGAATAAAATTCAAGAAGACTCAAACAAATCAAAAAGCTAATAGGCAGAAAATTCCTAATTAAGCACAAGAAGAGAGCATGATTCATGGAAGCATATAACATAGGCGCATATATGAATCATTCAAGCAACAAGAAACTAGATCCATCAAATTTTAAGGCTCAAATTAGATCTAGGAAGGAAGCAACTCTCATGTGACAAGAACTCAAAAAAAAATAAGATGAACACAAAATTGACAACAATCAACCACGGATCACACCACAAAAGATAAGGATCAAGACTTATCTCTTGAAGACAAAACCGGATGCTCTTGATACCACTTGATGTGCTTCCACTTGGATGCACATAGGAGGAACTTCAAGTCTCCACGGATCCTTGGAAGAGGCGTCAAGGATTGAAGCTCCAAGGAGACTCAAGGTGGCCGAAGCTTGCTTCTAGTTAAGTTCCAAGGAAGAAAGGTGACCTAGCTCTACAAAGAGAAGCACTCAAGGAGGGTAGAGAAGGTGACCAAAGTGACTTTCGGAGGGAGAGGTTTCAAGTGAAGAAATCTCATTCAATTAATCCAAAAGTGACTACATAGCTCGGCCATAGGGAATTTATAGGATAAAATTAGGTTAAAGTGATCTTGGGTTAGCCTAAGGTTAAGTGGAACCAAGGTAAGGTTTACTTAACCTTAGGCGCCCAAAATTTGAATTCAAAATTCAAATTTTGGTGCCTAAACCCGGATCACCCATGTGCAAGTTCATTTGGCATGTGATTAGGAAGTCATTTGAGTTGCATTTCGAGTCACACCATGTGCATGTGTTGCACATGGCCGAAATGCACACCAAATGTACTTCTAATTACATGCTAATGTAACTTCACATGTAACCTTAATAACCCTAAATTCAAATGACCTCTTAATGTAAATCCTACACTAAAAGGCCGGAAATACAAGGCCCAAGGAAAATACAAGGCACTAAGGCCCAAATCCTATACTACCATATACTACTTGGGCTTGAGTCAAAGCCCAACAAAACAGAGTAATGGGCTTCTCTTGGGCTTGGGCCCACTCTTCATGAATCCTCATTGCCATAGCCCTAGTAGTTGGGCCCTTAGCCCATGGGCCTCCTCCATCACATACCAAATTCAGAAAGGATTAGAAATAAAAAAAGGTCGTACAAAGTCATTCAGAAAGTCATTCAGAATTTGTACTTTATTTTTACTATTTCTAATATTTAATATAAACATATTGTCATTTATTTAAAATAATATTTAATATTAATTTATTATTAAATTTACTTCTTTAAAATTTATTTAATTTAAATATTAAATATATTTTTATATTCTAAAAACTTAAGTAAATTAATTTTTTAAAATTAATTACAATTCTTTAAAAATTCTGAAAATCAAAAATTGAAAAACGAAAAAAAAATTTCAAAAATCTAAACAAAAAATGAAAAAACGAAAAAAAAAGGCCCAAAAATCTGAAGAAAAAAAACCAAAAAAAAGGCCCAATAGAGAAATCGTTACCCAGTAACCGATTTCTCTAAGGGTTTTTAAAAAAAAATTGAAAAACCCTTTGTGAAATCGGTTACCTACTTGGACCTGCAAATGAGTCATTTGCATAAATAAAAATGGGCCCAAGTTATTTAAATGAATAAAAAAATAGTATATTAACAAAAAAGTCTACACCTATAAGACTAATTACTCTTTTCTTTTTTCTACTTTTCAATATCTTCTAGTTGCAAGTTTCAATATTTGGTCTAAAATAAATAAATTGTTATAGTTATTTGTTTGTAACTCTATTTTAATGTATGCATTATGAATGAATTTTATCAGACAACTCTTTTGACATGTTTATTTATTTATTTTGTTTATTTTATACGACATATGTGATACTTATTTTAAATGCTCATTATTTACATAATATTTATGTAATCGAGAATTTAAGTTACAAGTTTTATCATCTTAATGTTTAAATTGACCCTATGATATTTAGCTAATCGCAACTTTAGATAAGCACATAAATTTGCTTAAAATAAATGTTTATTATTAAAGTATATCTTATAAAACATATATAAATCCTAATTATCTAATTTATTCTAGTTTTAAGAAAGTAGTTAATTTATTTGATAAAAATAAAATTTTCGTTTAATTATCTAACAAACACTTATATCTTATATTTTTTATTTAATTAATATTCATATTTTTAGATCAAAATTAGAGTTAATGTTTTTTAAGAGTTTAAAGTTATTGTATTTATTAAATTAAGATAATATAATTTAATTAGTGATATTTTAGTCTAAAAATAATAATAATAAATAATATAAATTGTATCTTATATCAAAAAATTAGTAATTATCTTGAGTTAGATCTTATGAATAAGAATAGAAGTAATAATTTAAAGAAATGAAATTTTTTTTAAAATACATCTTAAACACGCTCCTTAAAAAAAGTAAAAAAAAATCATTGTTTAAAAACACTTCCCTTGAAATATCTATTATAATTTATTATACAAAACAAAATTTTTTTATATTGTTTTAATAGTAAATAATTTTGTATTTTTAATGAACTTTTTAAAATTTTCAATTAAGTTTTTAAACTAAAAAATGGTAATTAGGTCTTATTATATTTTATAATTAAATATTTTTAATATCTACATATCTATCTAGAAGGTATAAAGAAAATAAATATTTTAAAAGTAAAATATGAAAAAAAGTCTTAAAAGTATAATTTAGCAAAAGCCAACTTGTAAATTTTTGTATAATTTTTTTTAATAATATAATAAAATATAAAAAATGAAAGGAATTTATATAAGTTTAAAACATTTGTACCGGGCCAGCCTGTTTTATTCTTAAAATAACACGAAGGCAACCAATTGAACAAGTGGTCAATCCCATTCTCTTTGCGTCACTCATCATTCGTTCGGGTTTTCCTCATTCGAGAGTCTCTCTATTTCTCGATGGCAACCCTCACACATCAATGCCACGTTCGTTCGGGTTTTCCACTTTTGAGAGTCTCTCTGTTTCTTCGATAGCAACCATCACACATCAATTCGTCTCTGTTAGATGTCATCATTATTCTTTTCCTTTTTCTTCGATCTTTACAATTCAGATTCGATCAGGTTTTCAATTTCTTGTTTGATTTCATTCTAATTGTTGTTTTCTTTATTCCTGATTCTTGTTTATCTTTGCTTGCTACTCGCTAGGGTTTTTCTCTTTGTTCTTCATTCTGGAGACCTTGGCCGATGGAGGATAAAACTGAAGTAATGTTATGCGCTTATCTATTTTTCAATTTCTTGCTGATTCTTATTTTTCTTTGATTCAAGAATTTTTTTCTTCGTATGTCTACATCTAGCAACAAAGTATAGTTTTTTGATGCTTTATTGTTGTTTCTTTTATTTTTATCTGCGCTTAAAATAGCTTATAGTTTTGTTTTTAATCGATTTTCTGGTTATGTTATAAGATCACAGTTCAGAGATCTAAATTTTGATAGGATATAAATTGAGTTTGTTCTGCCCAATAGTTTGATTGATATTCCATCATGCATTACAAACTACATTTGGTACTTGTGCATTGCATGTGTATGTATGTATATTTTGTTCTTATACTATTAATCAAATTTACAAATTTCCAATCTTGCAAATTTAAGCCTTGAGATGTTTAGTAAGGTTGAGGTTTGTGTGTGAAAATCCCACATTAGTTAAACATATAACTGTTACAATGGTGTTTTTAATGACTTGTGCAATCCTCTTCCCTTGAGGCAAGGTATCAGAGTTGAGATGAACCCAATTTGTTTTCCATTAGTCATTCGTATTCTGCTTATTGTAGTTTAGTTGTTTGATGGCAGGTTGAATGGTTGTTTTTTTTTTCTTTAAAACCTTTTTTCTAGGGATCTCATCCTCATTTATGTTGTATTTATTCTGTTTTCCTCTTTTATTGGAAAAGAATTAATTGATTTTGCATAATGCAGTATCACAACACGAGTTCAATGCTCGTGAGAGTGATTAGCGTTTCACTAATTTCATGTCTCCACTTGCTGACTTATATAATCCTGCTATAAGTATTTTGGTGAGTGATAGAAGTATAATTGAGACTGATGTTGTTGTACATAAGCCTCTTGATTACTGTTCACATCACTCAAAAAAAGAATCTGGTTGTGCTATGTATTGTATTTTGTTCATGTAAAATAGAGTGAGTATTCTTCTATTTACAAATTAAAAATAATCTTAAATTTTATTTTATACTATTTTTTTATTTAAAACATATTTATTTATTTTTATTTAGTGATAGTGTACAAGAAATAAGAGTAATTGTTTATCTCTTTTAATTATTTTTTTTAAGATTTAATTTTTAAAAACAAGTTATTATAAAAGACTCTATGTTGTATTAAATTATGAATCAAAATTGAGAATATTAAATAGAGACATAACAAAATCACCCTAATAAAATAAAGTGATTATACAACGAGAGTTTCAGAACCTTTTTCTGTGAAAGCCAAGATTTTTTGAATATCTTAATTTTGGTTATATAAAATACTGATAAAGAAATTTTTTCTTGTGTGTATATGTTGAATATAAAATTTGTTATATATATATATATATATATATATATA